ACTTATTATCATGTTTCTTAACTTTATTCCAACATGTTAAAAACTAGCAACAGTGACATAAGAAATGCCCTTTAGAAATGTGAAGCAGGCACTTAGTTTGGGGGGAAAAAAATCCTTGTCAGCGCAACAGCACTGCCTGCATGATGACACAGTTCTGGCCCCCTAAAAAAGCCCCTCTTTGCAGGACCTCTGACTGCAGCCCATCTCCCTGTGGTGAGGTCATAGCCAGAGGTGGAACAGCTCCTGGCTCAGAGGAGCCTCATCCTGAGCCTCTGCTTGGGTACACACGGACCTTGAGCGGGGCTCTCTGAGCTCTTTGGCTCTCTCTGCTGGCTGCAGAGCACCCCAACCCTGGGCTTGTGCTCGGTGCTGTCCCCCCACATTCACCCTCTGGGGAACCTGCTGCTGTGGGGGCCAGACACACGGGGAGGAATATTGTGTTTGAGCCTCCAGGAAGAATCACAAACCCTGACAGGCACAAGAAGTAAAGCAGGAGAAAATAACTGCCGGAGAAGATTTATAAAAAAGCCTTGCAAGTGTGACAGCCAATTTCCAGAGGGATCCTTTTTCTTCTTAAACCTCAGTCATGAGCAAAAGGAGAGATTTTCCTTGAAGGCAGAGTACAGAGCTCTGTATAAGGGAGCAAATGATCTACCTTGGGGCAGAGCAGCACCAGGCTGATTGCCTGTCTGGGAGGGGATCACTGGCTTTGGCTCTGTGCCTGGGACATCTCCTAACAGGGGCTGTGGAAGGAGTATGGAGGGCCCAGAGCATCTCTCAGCTCACCTCCTGGGAATGCTTTTCCAGGGCTGGAGGCCAGAAGCACTTCATCCTTCTGCACCACAGAGCACAGCAGGCTGCTGTCTGCAAGAGCCAGCTGCAAGGGAGGGGGAGGCAAGCAGTGGAGAGCATCAGGAGGGATGCTCTCTTGTTGTATGTGGGACCAAGTCACTCTCTCTCTTGTCCAGCAGCCAAACTAGGTGATAAACAAAGCCTGTGTTTGCATTACTTCATGTTTTCTCAGGGAATATCTCTGTAGAAAACACTAGGCACCTTCATTAAACTGATTTTGTTAATTGAATGATCAAGTGTGTTTCTTCAACAGATGATGCTGGAAGTAATAATTCATGGCAAAACCTGGAATTTTTACTATACATATGAAGGAAACCGAACTTGTGGAGGTTTTTTTTGTGACTTTGTTAATTCTTTTCTTGTATTGTACAAGTTGTTTATGGGGTAAATTTCCTAAGACTGGGATACAAAAAGTTTTCTGAGATACCCACAGTATCTGGCCAAACAGCTATTCTCAGAAGTGTAATTGCATGTTGGGAAAAAAACCCAAATAATTCCCCAATAAAACAAAAGTGAAGAAAAAAGGAATAAAAGTGTTTTCTATGGCATTATTCTGGTGATAAGTTGACACAGAGTCAGAAGGTGTTCAGTGAGCAAAGAGTACAGTCTGTTCCTTTATCATAATAACTTTTATTGCCTACGTATATCTTCTCTTACCCTGCTCAATAAACATCCTGCTGCTTTGCTTGCTGAGAATTAGGACTCTGTTGCAGCAGTGAGTGCTTCTTTCCAAGCACCTGGTGCTCACCCATACAGGGGCTGGGGGCAGATCTGGTGCTCCCCAGAGATGCTGGGAGTCGGGTTGGATGAAAGGGAACTTTCCTGTGGTGCAAGCAGAGGTCTGGGAATCAGAGATGCTCCTGGGGGCTGCAATCAGCTGGTGCAGTTCCCATGAGGAGCCCCAGAGGCAGAGTAAAGGCAAAGGCACCACAGAGCATCTTATGGGCCCTTCTGAGGGGAGGAAACTTGTGCTCATGGGTCCAGGTTCTTGGTCCTTTCTGCAGAGCCAAAAGGAGTTAGATGGTGCTAGAGTGAACTCAGGATATGAAATCTGGGTCCCACAGGTACTTCCTCTGCAGCACAGCTAGAATCACTCCAAACTATTTCTCCCCAACAAGCCTTCTGGGCCAAGGAAGACTTTTTTTTTACCAATTAGAACTGCTCCTGAAAAATAATCTTGGCCTGCTTGCTATATCAAGAGACGCCGCCTGGCATCACTGGAGACTTCGTCTTTGGGGATGGCTGAGAAGCTCCTCACTGACTTCCCATAGGGGATTCGTGTTTCCAGGCCTTATACAACTTTTTCTGGTTTTCATTAAGGGCAACTCTTCAGGCAGCAGTTTCAAGCCCTTTTATGTTGTTCCTTATGGACATTTCCCCCCATTGCCTCAGATGAATCACCTGCTGATGAAGGCACCTGCTGGGGAGGGATTACTTGGGCCTGCCCATGGCACCAAGTGCTGGAGGGGAGATGAATCATCGGAGTGTGGATCATCACAGCCCCTAACCTCCCCCAGACCCATGCTGTGGCTGTCCCTCAGAGAGCCTCCTCTCTGACCTGCAGAGAATGTGGCTTGAGAACCTCTCCCAGAAACTGCTCTGCCCTCGGGCAGCTCTGGCCTGTGTGCCATACCTGTGTGCTCATCCAGACTCAGCCTTGCCCAGCAGGAGTGTTCCCAGCCTGGAACACTGTTCCATGGCTCCATGTCTAGGGATTGAATATAGCTATTTCATCTCTTTATCCCACAACTCCCACATATTGAAGGGAAAAAAAATCTTTTTTTTTCTTTCTAGTCTTCTTAGCTCAGCATGGCCAGACTGTCTCCTGCATCGTGTTTGTACAGTTCCCAGCACCTGGGATTGCTGCTGCTGCCACAGTGCAATCACATGTGGTGATACTGCATTTAATGCCTTGGAAGGCAGCTCCCCAGACTCCAGGAACTCCTGAGCTGACACAAGGAGCAGTTTGTCTTTCTGTCTCTGAACTGAGGACATGCCTTCACCAGTACATCTTCATTAAACTTCCCAGAAGCTGCCATGACGTGCCATCATCTGTGTTGAAGCAGGCTGGTGGAGCTTGTGAATCAGCGTCTTTAATCCCTGCTTGTGACTGAGGATCATCCCCATCCCTATTTGGGATGAGTTTCACTCCAGCAATTGGCAGGATTAAACTCCCTTCAGGAGCACGGGTTGAGCATTATGAACAAGGGAAAAGCCTCAGGCGAGTAGTGGTCTATTTATATCCCATGAAAGATGGACTCTGCACATAAGAATATTCAAGCCCCTGGCCCCTCCACCCCCCTCCTGTTTCTCTAGCTGCTCTCTTGAGTCTGTCTCAGCATTGAAAAATTAGCTCCTTTTTGAAAGCTAAGAGGAAACTCAGTCAACACAAGAGTGAGCAGCCAGGGATGGGGATGTTTTTGCTTTACTGAATCCCCTAAAATGTTCTCTGATGATGCTACACAGCAGCAAAGGAATCAGATGTGAGCTGGTACAATTACTCTCCTCACAGAGTCTGTCTCCACATTTTAAAACAGGGACCTATTCTTACCCTACCTGCTTTTTGATTGTTGATCTATATTACCTGCACTTCTCAAATATCATTTTGGAGGCTTTTCCCTGCAGTGCAGCCCTGTCTGTGCCTCAACAGTGAGTTAATCCTTCACCCTCCACAGCTGCACCAGCCACAGAAATTCAGGGCTCCAAGAGAGTAAGGCTCTCCCCCCGTGCCCACAAAGCCCTGTGAGGACCACTGTGCCCTGCCCTGTCTGCCCCACACCCAGCAATGGTAAAGAGGGCAGAGCCCCTAATCCCAAGGCACTGCATGTGGAGCAGCCATTTCCCCAGGCCACACCACAAAACCTATCCCACTTCCAAGGAAGGAGGAGAGGAAGCTCCCGGGACTGCCTCTGGCCCCCTCAGAGGGGCTGACAGCAGCAGCTCCCCTCCCTGGGCATGTCCCTGCTGCCTTTGCCTGTTGCCAGGCGGCCGTGGAAGAGCCCAGTGAGCTCTGCAGCAGGGCTGGGATTCCACACTGGCACTGCTACAGCTCCCGACCACAAGGGATTCACCTTCCCCCAGCTCATATCCAGCAGCCCCCTGCCTACAGGAAAAGGATGTGCAGACCTAGAATGAAAACAATAGTCCATGAGCCATCAAGAACGATGCCCCACAGAGAGCTATGTCCAGCACAGACCAGAGGCAACTTCAGAAGCCTTCAGCTGGGGAACCCACCTCCACTGGAGTCATGCTGAGCCCTCTGCCCATGAACATCTGTAAAACTGCCCATTTTTCACCCTTCTTTCACATATGATGGATAAAAAATATTTGTTATTTTTAATCCTGAATGATGGATTTCTCATCAAAGTGGCACCTGTCCCCTGTGCAGGATGTCTGCTCTACAGCTTTGATTCACCTGTGAGTGTGTGGCACAAACCAGCACAGACAGAAAGCCGAGACTCTGCAAAAAGCATGAAAAACTTGTCTTTTATTGAGAAAATAATGTTTTTCTCACAATTCTATCTCCTAGCCTGCTGAATCCTTCAATATTGGCTTTCAAGATGTTGAGGTGGTAGAAAAACTGCTTTAAACAGTTCATGAGATGCGGAGGGGCTTATGTTATGGGGTTAACACCTCAGCTCTAGAGGGATGCAAAACCTTCCCTGCAGAGCAGAACAAAGGAAAACTTCTGAAGGAATCCCAGAAACAGTTTGTCGGGAATCTTGCAAGGCCTAAAACATGGCAGGTAAGAAAATCTTTTATTGCCTGTGGCTGAGGAGAGAATGAGATATGTGGTGTAAACTTGTACTGTGAACTACTTTTATCACCCCATCACTCGAAATACACAGCTGAGATTTTTACTGATCCCTCTGGTGATGGATGTAAATCCTCCAGACTGACTTGAAGTGCCAAGTGCTGTGGATTTGATTCAGCCACAACTGCAGGGATTTGATATCTAAAATATCAATGTGGCTCTAGTTCTTTAGTAAGACCACAGAAAAAATATCACATTACGACACACTCTGTGTGTGTGTGTGTGTGTGCATACGTGTGGATGTGGATGCTGTCTGATGCCCTGAAACAGGCAGTGTTCCAGAGACAGCCTGAGAGGTAACTTCAGTTTTCTCATTGACCACTGAGCCTCAGCATCACCGTTTGAAACATAAATTTTATTGCAACAGAGAATTAAAAATAGTACATTTGAAAGAGTTGCAGAGTGCATGTCATCAAAGAACTAGTCAGAAATCACAACTCAAGCAAATCATGTACAATTGGAACAGAAAGTTTTATTAAAACAAGTGGAAATCAAACTCAAATTTTCCTTGTTTGTTTAATTTCACCATAACTGTGGATTGTGTATTTACAGTCTTCGCCTCTTGTGGTGAAGGTTCTGCTCAGGGCAGGGCAGGGATGGATGGGGAGGAGAGGTGGGTTTCAAAAGCTAACAGGATGTGAAAGTTTTCCAGAAGAAGTTCTTGCAGCCTGCTTTGCGTTCCCGGGGTGCCAGAGCGGGGTTTGAGTTAGCCGAGCGCTCCAGCTCCAGTCTCACTTCATCCTGCTCAGCCCCTCGGGACAAGTCCTCAGACTCCAGGGCTTCATTTTCTGTCTGACTTGGCTCTGAAAGCAGTTCTGCCAAAAAGTACTTGGCCAGTTCCTTGGGGACAAGAGACAGAAAGGGAGAAAGAGACAGAGAGACCACAATTACTCCTTGATTTTTGGGAGCTCACCACTCTGTTCCTCTAAAACTGCTCCGTGGCCAGATTAGAGACATTCAGGATGCAGGAGGGGAAGAGGAGCTTTCCAAAGAGCCCAGCCTGACAGCTGCTATGCAGCAGTTGTGTCTGTGGCATCCACCTGGTGTGGGGAACAGATCGCTGTCCTGTCTGTGGCAGGGAATGAACTCGTCTTTACCTTCTCTTCCCACGGCTCGGGCACTCAGCGCCATACTCAGCAAGGATGCTACGAGCCTGCTGCTAAAGTGACACGGGAAAGGTCTTTAGGGGAGCTGCCAGGGGAGGTTGAATTGGTCACCGTCTCGTGGGACTTAATTTTCTTCCAGTCCCTCCAAGCCTCGGCTGTCACCCAGGATGGATAAGGCCATTGTTCTGTGTTCTGGGGAAGCTGCCTTCATTCTGCGACCCGGAAAAACCCTCGGGAGCTTCAGCAGGGGCTCTGCCCTGTGCCCCAGCAGCGCCTGCTCCTCGCTGCCCACCAGCACCCAGCTGGACTGCCCGACCTCCCAGCACACCCTGCCCGACCTACGGCTCAGCCCCGGCGGGGAGCTGTGGGGAAGGGGCTCTGCAGCAAGGAGCCGGGCGTCTGAGACACGGCCACTGGGGAAATCTGGCGAGGATCTGGAGGGGTCTGTGCAGGGGCTCTGACGGGGAGCAGAGGTTCTGCAGAGGGGAATCGGGGTGTCTGTGTGTGCAGCGCGGCCGCCGGGGTGCCCGAGGGGTGCCCGTCCCGTCGGGGGGCTCTCACCTGCTTCCCGGCGG